ACCGTGCGACCGTGGCCCACCCAGCGCGCGCCGGCGCGGCGCGGCCACTGGGAGCGGGGAAGCCCGCTGGCGCGGCGAGCATCGCCGGCGAAGAGGTAGAAGGAGCGCGCTGGAATGGAGGCACCACGAGGCGAGCCGGACCCGATCAGAGGGTCTCCAAGAGCACACGTTGAGCGATACCTCGCGGGGCACGCGGCGCTGGCACGGGCGATGCGTTGTAGTCGCAAAGCGGCGTGCCGGGGGGGGCTGCACAGCGAGGAGCAGGAGGGCCGTCAGACGCCGGTCCGGCCACGCCCGCCGCAGGCACATGCCACCCGGGCCCCGAGCCCGCCACCGTGAGCCACGCGGCCCCCCAGGGCCGCACAGCACCGCCGCATGGGGGGAGGGAAACCAGCCCCAAACAGCGATGGGCGAGGGAGGCCCTGGGAGGGGGGCGCCACCCACAACGTCTGCCAGAACGTCGGTGGCCCCGTAGCCAGGGCGGGGGACACCCGACTGGCTCCAGCAGTGGGAGGCGGGAGGAAAGCCGCCTCTCCCCTTGCCCAGGTCCTCCCACACTTGGGATGGGAGGAGTGGTTGGTCCAGGGGGTCGCAGCTGATCGCCGCTCAGATCCGTGACGATGGGTGCGTCCTTGAAAATTGGTCCTCGGGGGTCGCAGCTGATCGCCGCTAGAGTCGATATTGCCAAAACTGCGACCTGAACAAGTCGATCTGCTGGCGCGTGGGGGGGGTGGTCCCGCGGCCGCCTCCCCGCCACCAGCGGGTGGGTGGCTGTCGTCGTCGGACAGCAAAGTGGGTGAGCCCGGGACCTGTCTGTCCTGCGGGCGGGTCCCCTGTCGTTTCAGGGGGGCGAGATGTCGGGAGCTGCCCCCCTCCCCCCGCTGGGCGCGAAAAGGAGGGTCGGTCCACTTGTCCAGCGCGGGCTGTCTAGCTATGCTGCGCCGCGGGTGAGATGCAGGGCAACCTGCGCCCCAGCGGAGGTTGCCCCTAGGTATTACGGCCTGAGCCGGGCGCGGCGAAGTGAAACTGGCCCCCCATGGGGCACGAAGAGCGGGCAGGGAAGGACAGAATTCGCTGGCCAGGAGCGCCAGAGGTGCTGAGGCGGGTCAGCCCGGCACCGTCAGCCCTGGGTGCAGGAGTCGCCCCCTTGCCCACCAGCGGGCGCGCTTGTCCGCGTACCAGTCGCCCCCCCTAGGGGAGTACCGCTTGCCCTGCCCCTTCCAATCCGAGTCCGTCCATGGGGCTTCGTGCCGATCCCACGAGCTCCATTCCTGCCAGTCCTGCCACTGGCTGGGGGTGGCTGCACCGATGGCACCGGCCCAGCGGTCCTGCGTGGCCGCGGCAGCGGCCGCTCTGCCCTCAGCTGTCCATGGGGCGGGCCCGCTGTTGCTTTCGCAGTCGCGCTGAGCGCGTGCACGGGGATCGCGGCGCATGATTTTCATGTGCTTGTCCCGGACTGCTGCCCAGTTGACGTTGAGCCCCAGCTCACTGCCCATCTTGCAAGCATCGTGCCCTGCGTCGTTCCAAGCCTCGAAGAATTCAGCGCACGTCTGGACCGCGCTCAGTTTGGGGTTGCTCTTCTGGCTTCCGCTGAGCTCCTGTCTCAGGGCAGCCCGTTTGACCCATGCGGTCCATGCGCCATTGAACGCTCCTCCCAGCGTCTTCTGTAGGCTTATAATATTGTCCTGCACTGGTTCATCCCTGTCCACGTCTGCAGTTGCTACGGTGCACATGTACATGGGAACGCCTCCCATGGGGTCGTTCGGGTCTTCGCAGCGCGGCTGTGCGATCCTGACGTCTCTCCAGGGCGCCTCGTGGATCTCCGCTCGCGAGAGGTTGCCCCTTGGTGATTTGGCGACGCGTCCTTCCCCGTCCTTGGTGTCTTCCGACGCAGGCTGGCGGCGCCCCCTGCGCCCTGCCGCGCGGCTGAGGGCGCGGTCGCCCCTGGCACCCATGATGTCCCAAGTTGAGCTGCTTGCCCTCTCTGGGCTGTCTCTCGCCCTCCTAACCTCCCGGGTGGCAGCTCGATCGACGGTCTGTGAGTACGGGGGTCAGAGGGGTCCTTCTCCTCGCCTTCATCCGCAACTGGTGTCGGGCTGACCGCCAGGCTCGTGTCTTTGGCTGTGTCTGACTCGCTTTTCGCGTCCTCGTCCCAGTCGGGGGCCTCCGGTTCGCCCTCGGTTTTGCCTGTCTGGTTGGAAGGGCCTAGTCCTTCCGCAGGAGGATCGCGGGCCCCGTCGGCCCCTGGGGCGCGGGGATATGCTCTGGAGGGGCGGCCTGGAGCAGCATCCCGCTCTGGGCCGTGGCTGTCTGCTGGGGGGCGTCTGCAGCCTCGAGTGTTCTGTTCAGCAAGGCTGCCGCTGGAGATTCGGCTGCTGTTGCGGAGTCCGTGCCTGTCTCGAGCGGGTCTCGGTTGGCGAGCACTCTGATGGTTCCGTCGGCGAGGGCAGTGGGGTCCATCCCCATGAGGTATGTCAATAGTGTGCTGAGCCGCTGGCGGAGGGGACACTGGCCTCGCTGTTCAGCTAGGTCGGCAGCGTACCTGCACCACATGGCCTCATACATCCCGCTGGCTCTCGTTAGGTGGTAAACCACTCGTACCGCCGCGGCCCGCTGGCCGCCCCATGGGATGTTGGGGGGGGTGACAGTTGCTGGGGATCGTCTCTCCGTAGATCTTGACCAGGAACTGGCGAAGACGCCCTGAGGGCCACGACCCTTCATCGGTCTTATCGCCTGTTATCCCATCGCCGTATTGCACCACGTACTCCGTCCATTGCTCGTAAATGGTGGGGTTCCACTCTAGCAGGTACTTGACCAAGGAGCGTATGGCACTGACAGATTCCTTTCCTGTGAGCCTGGAAGTGGAGTGGGTTGGTAGGGCGGGCCCCTCTGGCGGGGAAATGTCGGGGAACAGGGATTTAATGTCCCGTGCGGCGTTTCCTGACCCGCTGCTCTCCCCGACTGTGCTGTCGTGGTCAGCGCTGATGGGGGGGTCGGCTCTCCGTCTGCGGCTAGTTGCCTTGTGTACGTATCCTTGGCGGCAGCATTGACACAGGCCGGGGTGAGGTAGACGCTGATGTCGTGGTTCTCCGTCTGCACTTCTGTTGCCGCTGCCCGCTTGGCTGGTGCCGTGGGGTATACGCTGGAGGAGTGCTGGTCCAGTATGCGGTCGAGCGTGCCTGGGGCCAGGTTCCAAATGTGGATGAGGCACCGTCTGCAGGCCCAGCCTGCGTTCCACTGCTGTTGGGTCCAGAGGGTGGGCATGAGGTCAGAGGGCGGTAGCCCTGTCTCGGCGTTGGTGGGTGCTTCGCTGGTGAGGATACGCGAAGCGTCAAGAATTGGGCATGATATCTTTCCGTTGCGGTGGCAATGGTAGGTAAGGACAAGCATTGACATGGTCACGTTTTCAAATGTGCGAGACTAGCCCTTTGCAGTGCTGTTATGTTATTGCGTTGGTTTGCATTCCTTTGCATTGTGTTGCATTGAGTTGACCTGCCTTGCGTTACTTTGCATTGTTTTACGCCGCGTTGCATTGCGTTGCTTCGCATTGTATTGCACTGCTTTGCAGTGCGTTGCTTTGCATTGCATCGCTCTGCATCATTGCTGTACATTGCTATACATGTTGTGTTGCATTGCATTGCATAGCAGTGCATTGCACTGCACTACATTGACTTGCAATGCACTGCTTTGCAGTGCGTTGCATTATCTGCGTCATGTTCCATTGCTTCGATGTGCTTTACATTGCTTTGCATTGCTGTGCATTGCCTTGCACTGCTGTGCTTGCAATGCATTGTTTTGCATTGTTGTCCATTGTGTTCCATTGCTTTGCAATCGCAGTGCATTGTTTTGCATTGCTTTACATTGGTTTGTATTGCGTTGTGCTGCTTTGCGTTGCTTTGCATTGCACTGGTTCGCATTGACATGTACCACGTAAATTGCACGAAATGGATTGCACCATCTGGATTGGACCACATTGATCGTACCACCCACAATTGCACCGCATAGATGGTAGAAAATCACGAATTGAGATCCACGGTGGCTACGATTTACAAATACGACAATTCATACATATTGATGTTTGTACCTGCACACACACACACACCGGACAACATGTACTCACAAGGCACAGCAGGGCCAACGACACGCGTCGTTCCCAACTTCTTCCTGCTGGTATCCTGTGGGAGACAGGGCCAGCAATACGTATGATCCTCATCAGGTTCCTACTGGCTCATGTTCTGCTGGTCACAGCTACTCGGACGTCGTCGAGGTGATCTCCGCCCGACGACGCCGCCAGCGACCCGTCGCCGTCGTCGGCGGCGGCGTCGGCGACGTCGCCGCTCCAGGCGACGTCGCCGCCGACCATCGGCGACGTCATCGTCGCCAGTCGGCGTTGTCGGCCGACGGCCCGTCGCCGTCGGCGACGACCGGCAATGCGCGGCCCCAAGGGCCCCGATCCCTTCCCGAGGGCCAGTTTCCTCGCCGGGTTCGTTTCCGATGGCCCAGGGGCTGGAAAACGGGCCACCGAGGCCGAGATGGAGGGAAAACACCGCAAGCAAAAAAAAAATCTGACCTGGGAGATCGTTACTGATACACTCCTGACCTCTCCCAGCGTGCGTTCTGACCAAAATTTCGAAGAGAACCCAGCCGTTGCGATGACGGCTTGAGGGGCAACGAAAGGCTGGGACTGGCGCTGGGGGTACATTGACCTGGAATCGGCGATACATCGCCGATAGATCGGCGATAGGACCTCGATAGTTAATCCGCACGTTCCTGGGCGGGCTGGGGATGTCAGATCCTCATCGGCGATCACTGGGCTATTGGGGGTCGATGCGTTCCCCCCTGAGCCTACCCACTCCTATCGTTGCCTCTGCCGGCTCTCCAGGACAACCGTCGCCGCCGCCGCCGCCGGTCGGCGTCGCCCGTCGCCGCGGTCGCCAGTCGGCGTGGGCCAGCGGGCGGGCAGTCGGCAGGCGGCAGGCCGGCCCAAGCGGCAGGACAGCGGGTCCTCGGCGCCCGGCTCGCGCGGCGCCAGCCCAGGGGGCGGCGGCATTGCCGCGGCGCCGCTGGCCGAGGAGGCGCGCGAAAGGAGCCCAGGGGGCGGCGGCATCGCAGGGGCCTCTGCAGGGCATCGGGGGATGGGTCCTCGTCGTCCTCATCATCGTCGTAGTACTCCTCCTTGTGAAAAAAATGATTAGTCAAGAACGGGAAGCGCCGATCTTGTCCACTAGGCTCGTGGGGGGACAAGAGGAAGGATGATGGCGACGACAAGGCGGCGGATAGCGAGGATGACACAGTGGATGGTGGACGACGGAGAGGGCAGCGAGGGGAGCAGGAGGACAACGAGTAGGAAGACAAGCACGAGGACGAGGAGGAGAAAGAGATGGAAGAGGACACGTACGAGGACGAACGAAGCGGAGGATGAGGAGGGGAAAAGAAAGGCGACGACGACGACGACGACGACGACGACGACGACGACGACGACGACGACGGAGGACGACGACGAAGGAAGACGTCGAAGAAGGAGGGATCCTCGTGAACTGTTGAGGCTACCCTGGGGGCTGTTAGGGCCGTCTGGGGCTATCCTCGTCGTCCTCCTCGTCATCGTCGTCGTCCTCCTCCTCGTGGAAAAAATCCGCCGACCCCTCGGGATCTACTCGGCACGTGAGACTCTTGCCCCTCCCCAGACCTCTCCCCCAGTAGCCCAGTCTGGCAGGTTTGGAAGGGGGGGCAGTCCGGCCGGCTGGGCCAGGGGTCCCATCCCTCCCAGGAATGCTTCGGGACAGCCCCAGCTGGCTTCGAAATGGGCGCCAGAGGCTCCAAAACGCCCCAAAATGGAGCCCACGTGACCCCAGATGGCACCATGACGACCCAAGATGGCCTCAAGAAAAACCCAGAAGCTCCCAAAACGCTCCCACAAAGCTCCAAGAGAAGCCCCAGAAGGCTTCAAGAATCAAACATCGTCACACTCCCTTCCGGAAACTAACATTTTGACCTCCGAGGTCTCCGAGATCCTCCCAAGACGGCCCCACAGGCCCCGACGAGGGCTCCAAGACGGCTCCACACGGCCGGGGGGCGGCCCACAAGGCCTCCTAGACAGCTCAAAGAATCCAAGGAACAGCCCAAGACAGCCCGAGATGCTCCCAGGACGACTCCAGAGGGGCCCAAGACGGCCCACGAAGGCCCAAGGCCCAAAGAAGGCACCGAAAGACCGCCAAAAAGCCCCAAAGAGCGCCCAAAGGCCCCCAAAGGGCCCCCAGAAAGCTTGCAACGGCTCTCGATGGGCACCAAGCGAACCGCCCGCCTGCAAGAGTGAGTGGCGGGCGCGCGGCGCGGGCTACGCGACAGTCCCATGGCCAGGCGAGCTTCCCCAGAACCCGAAACTGGTCCAAAACCTTCCCACGTGATATTAAGTTGAGCATGACGCATGCAGAAATATGGTACGTTGTGCTATGTATGTATGTATGTATATATATATATATATATGTGCATGCATACAGACACATACATGCCTGCGCGCATACATACATGCATTCATACATCTACACAAACATATATACATATATAGATATGCACAACTATAAAATTTTAGAAATATTCATACACATACACATATAACTATACACGTACATGTGCATAGACGTACACATATACATACACCTACACATATGCATCTACATCTACGTATACATATACATGTACATGAAATGTCATCAAGCATTCATGGGTATACTTGGTTGGTAAAACGGAATAAAAAAAACAAGTAAATATAAGACAATACTACATTATACTATACAGTATAACAACATGTAATACATATTTTCGAATATACTATAGCACATTAGAATAGAACGTAATGTCATACAGTAGAATATGAGTAAACATGATACTGTACCATAGAATGCAATGTGGTACAGTACAGCGTGTTTAACTATAACACAGTCTAATGTAGTGGACCCAAATTTCTACAATACAATACAATGAAATGTGACCTAACATAGTAGGATAAAGTCGAATAGAATAGAGTATAGCTATATGGGCGCATACATACATACATGCATACATAGAATCGAGAATACACATACATGCATACATGCATACATGCAGGCATGCAAACATGCATGCATGCGTGTATACATAATCCCATACATACATGCATACAAATAGATATGCATATATATATAGATATATGTGTGTCGATCAATATATATATATATATATATATGAACATGCAGCAATACATGCGCACATCCATACAGGCATGCCTACATGCATGCATGCATGCATGCACACATGCAAGCAGACAGGCACACACACACGCACATACATACATGCATGCATACATGCATACATGCATACATGCATGCATGCAAACATGCATGCGTGCGTGCATACATACATACATGCGTACATGCATACGTGCATGCATATATACACATATGCACAAATACATGCACACATACATGCATAAATACATGCATGCGTGCATGCATGCATACAGACAGACAGGCACACCCAAATATGTATATATATATATATACATATATATATGCATACATGCGCACACATATACATGCATGCATGCATACATACATACCTACATAAACACACATACAGACATGCATACATACACGAATGAATACAGTTGTACATACATACATGCATAACTACGCACACGTACGGACACACACACACACACACACCTATACGTACGCATACACACATACATGAATACATACTTGAATACATACGCACATACAGACATACAGGCAGCTCGACATACATACATACAGGCATACATGCGTACATATCTATATTCACATACATACAAACATGCATATGCCTGAAAATACTCATTTACATAAACAGATACACATACACATACACACACATACAGGTGCATATACCTATACATATACATGCACAACTACCTACATACATACATACATACATACATACATGCATGCATGCATGCATGCATACATACATACACCTATACACACGCGCATGAGGTTAAAACTCATGCACAGTCATCCACCGACCCCCGCTTGCCAGGGAGGAACATGCGGATGAGACATTTCGCTGTCTCCCTCCTCCTTTTCCCCGTCCCGTAGGGTCCAGAATCCCGTCTTAGGAAAGGGTAGGGGTTAAGGCACAAAGAAAACCATGTAGATGTCCTGTCTGTTTGCCTGAATCTTGTAGGACTGACCCCGCTGCCCAGAAGCAGCCCAACTCTCCACTCAAAGAAAGGGTCGGCGGACGTGGCGTCAGCCTTTAGAATCACGGCGGATGCTTTTCTCATATTTTCAGCCTCTGGGGGCCCTCGCAGGGCCCTGGGACCGTCAAAAACTACTCAGGATGAAAACCCTTTCTGGGGAACGGGTCGAGACCTCTCCGGGTCAGGGTCCACGTCGTGAAGAAATCATGATGTCGGGGGTCTGGGTTCTCCTCGTCGTCCTTCGTCCTCGTCCTCATCCGCATGCTCGTCATCGTTCTCGTCCTCGTCCTCGTCCTCGTCCTCGTCCTCATCCTCATCATCTTCGTCGTCTCTGGATTTAGGAAGGCACCAGCCGTCAAGGGCGTTGTTGTCTAGCGACTCGCGCAGGATCTTCCACAGCTCGACCAGACTTCCCTGCGTGTCTATGGGTGTGCCTCGATGCATTGGGTTGTTCTGTCGGATTTCGCCCACCTGCGTCGAATCATCCGGCTGTATCCCCGCAAGTCGATTGGAGAAGAGTCGGCAAGCCCTTGGAGCACCGAAAACTACACCTCTCTCCCTCCTCCTCCTCCTCCTCCTTCTCCTCCTCCTCCCCCCTCCCTTATTTCCTTTCCTCCATCCAACCATCCTTCTCCCCTCACCCATCCTCATCCCCCCCTCCTCTTTGTGTTCCTCCTCCCCCTCCTCGTACTTCTCGTAATCCTGTTCTTCGCATGAGCAGTAATACTCGTGACATGCTTCGTAACCGGGTGAACACGAATCGTAGCATTCCAATGGTGTGCTGATCATGGGTACTGGAATAGCATGTATAAGAGTATCGTCTAGTGTCATCCAGCATATCAGCGTGATCCCCCAGAAGTTGCATCAGTCTTCGCACACCGACTCGTATTGATATGATGTGTGTATTATCATGCACATCATCATGTTTATACTTGCGATGGGTAGTGGCAATGCTGGTATCATTCTGAAGACTATAGCTGTGCATAGTATTATGACGGCCCGTACTCAAATTGTGAACAATTGTGGTAATAGTGGTATAAAGATCCTTAGTAGCCATGTCCCGATTACGACTGCTCGCGCAGGGCTATGAGCACTCGTGGCGCTCAGGTGATAGGACGCGAAGTAACGTTGTTACGACCATGATATGCCGTATAAGCAGCTGCATCATGATGAATATGCAA